GCGACCGCAGCGGAGTTACCGGAGGAGTAAGATGAGTGAGAAAATCTACTGCTTAGGGAAGCTACTACCAGGAGGTCATCGACACCGTAAGAACACGGCGGATATGTTGGAGGAAGCGAAGAAGTACCTGAAGTTTCTTCAGGCGCAAGTTAACTCGCTTCGGACTATGCCCACCGAGTCGAGGTTTACGGAGGTGAAACTTGGGTTATTTGGAGATTTAAGAGGAATGGGAGAGCTGGGAAACCTGAGTAGACAGCAGTTGTTGCAAGTGGTGGTGAACTCGCCCGCGGCGCAGATGGTTATGGCGGATAGAGGACGGTGTTTGGCGACGGCGGAACAGGTGGCGATGATGAAGAGGATTGAGGCTAGGCAGAAGGTTATTCAGCAGTTCATGCATAATCTTCCTCTCTGAGTTGGATTTTTCCTAGACGCAAAGACATTTAGAGCTAGCCTTAAAGGCATATAATCCTTTGAAAAATAGGTTATCTGGTACTAGAGTTGTATGGAAAATTTTGGAATTTTTCGGTAATTGATAATCAATCATAGTAGTAAATATCTTTACTATCGGTTCTAAAATTTTAGTGTAAGAAATGATTGCATGGATCGATGACTAATGAAAATAGAACTTATTTCCCTTATAAAAAAAAAAAAAAAAAAAAAAAAAATAGAACTTACTTGAATTATGTGAAACTTACTTTTTTCTAGGGATGACAACGGAGTCGGATTTGTACTGGGTTCGGATGGATTTAGATCCAGATCCGTTTTTGTATTGAGGATTCAGATCCGACTCGGATCAGTCAGGTCTGAAAAATGGAGACCCAGATCTAGATCCGACTGTTCCAACGAATCCGGGTCCGAATCTAGGTCCAAAATGGGTCTAATATATTTTGCTTTATTTTTTTGTAATACATGTAATGTTTGGGTTAAAAGAATGTATTTCAAACTTCCATCAGGGCTATTGGGTTTAACTAAAATTAAAGTTATACAACTAATAAAAAACACAAAGTAACTCACTTATACATTTATACCTTGGAATAAAAATTATAAACAACGAAAAAGTACGATGTTACAAATGAGCAAGTGAAAATCAACGATGATTTATTCGATATGAGCATCGAAAATTCATCTATTGAAATGGTTAATTCATTATCATAAAAGAAACAAACAGGTCTATTTTTTTAATAATAAAATCTTAAAAATGGGTAGACAAATCTAGGTCCGGGTCCAGGGGCCAGACCCGGATTCAGATCCCTTTTTTTTCTGTAGGACCCGGATCCCACGGGTCCAAAATTTGAAGACCCAGATCCGTTTTTGGATCCACAGATCCAGTTCGGGTCCAAATCCACTGTCATCCCTACTTCTTCCTTTTTGTTTTTTAATTTAAGTTGCGTTTTTTTTTAAATACTTCGTATGATTTTCAACGTACAACTTTAACGGATAATCTCTTTTAATGTAGCCAAATATAATTACACAAAGTATTGAGTCAGTCAAGTCTGACCAAATATTTCGTCAGTCCAACTATTATTTGTACAGCAATACAAACTTCTCACACTCTCAATTCCGAGTAAATATAAAAAGGGAAAATTTGTCAAAAATAACACCACCATTAAGCGGTCTTCCCAAAATAACACCACCTGTTGATTATTCCACAATAACACCACCTTTGATACACATCTGTCAAAAATAAAACATGACCGGTTGATAACCTATTTAAAAGGTTATCTGTGACACGTTTCACACTATCAATGGTCAATTTTTAATTTTTTTTTTTAAAAAACTTCAAATTTTTTAAAAAAACCTTAACAAAAAAAAAAGAAAATCCCTCCCACCACTGCCACCTGCCAGGCTGCCACCACTACCGGCGCCTAAAACCCCTCCCCCGTGCCGGCTTAACCATTTTTCCGGTCGTCTGCACCCCCTTTCCCCCCTTAACCCACCACCAAAAGGTCGAAAACCCTATAACCCTAAAACCACTTGATGATTTTGGGGTTTTAGGGTTTTTGGATGGTGGTTCAAAGGGGAAAGGAGGTGGAGACGGCCGGTGGAGGGGCAAAGTGGTTTCGTCGGCACAAGGGAGTTGAGAGGGTTTGGCTGGCAGCCAGTGAGGGGAGACGGGTTTTCGAGGGGAGGGAGAAGGATTTTAGGGTGGAGGAAGGTGGTTCAGGGGAAGAGGAGGGGCTGGGTGGTCGGGTGCTCAGGGTGGTGACGTTGGTACCGTCGGTAATGATCTCTGGTCGTCGGCGGTGGTGGAAGCCTTGACAGGTGGTTGTGGGGTTGCTGCCGTTAAGGGAAGGAGTTTTCCTTTTTTTTCTTTTTTTTTTTAATTTTAGATTTTTAAAAGTTTTTTAATTTAAGTTTTGTTTTTTTTTTTTTTAATATTAACCCATCACACATGTGACATGTGTCAATTGTAACATGTAAAACAGGTTACAGGTTTTTTGTTCTATTTTTGGCAGATGTGTATCAAAGGTCGTTCTATTTTTGAATAATCCAAATGTCGTTTTATTCTTGGAAGATCGATGAAAGGTGGTGTTATTTTTGACAAATTTTCCTATAAAAAGTAGGTATTCAACTTTGGCGAGTTAAGTATAAAAGTAGGAACTATCTTTTTAGATTTTTCTCCTTTTGGGTACTCTATGTTTTTTTTTTTTTCACCTTTTAGGTATTCAAAGGCATTTTCCGGCCAAAAGTTAACCAAATGTGAGTTTACCTCTTGGTTTACACGTGGGACCCACTTAAAAAAGTCACTGGGAAACGAAAAAACTGAGTCCCATCATAATGGAGTTTTTCTATATTATTTTGTATTAATGTATTAGTGAAATCACAATTCAAATCATTGAATCTTACGGAGTATGATTTAATTATTCATATATGACCTTATGATTCGAATTACGATATTTCCCGGTTTTACATACTTTTCTTAAATAACGAAAACATTATAAGTTTACAAACTTATTTAGTAAATAACACTAGTATATACACACACACACACACACTTATTTTTTTTTTGGAAACATTACCCGTATTAAGTTTTATACAAACACATTCAATCATATTTGACTACGATGTCTTTATTATGCATGTTAGTTTTCAATTCTGAAAGCCCCTTTCAATTAAAAATAGAATTCCAACTTTAATAACGTTGATGGTTGTAGGCGTCGCTCGAAGTGCGCCTACGTTAAAGCATGTTGTGAATATGCTTGGCACTCATAGGAAGTGGGAATTGACATTACGATTAAGGACAATGATTAGGGACAAATAAAGTAGGGAGCCGCTAACAAGTTTTTTAAGGAACTTGTAAACCGTTCACGGATCATAAAAAGGCAACCACGATAAGGGACAACGATAGGCCAAAATTGACATTAAAAACGGGATTAAAATAAATAAAACCGAGCTACTAATCTCATTAGCAACTTAAACCAGAAAATTAAGCCAAAATAAACCTTGAAAAACATGATTATAAAAATAAACGAGCGGGGCTCCGATATCGCTGTTGGGGTATGGTGAGTCCGACTCACCGCGGAAACAAACCCTGACCCAAGGAACCACTCGCAATAATTAAAATCATAAAGCATAAATAAATAATCACTAAGAAAAGATAACGAATCTTACCCTCGAAGCGAGCTTCGCCCAAAACCGGGGCTCTTACTTGAAAGCTACGAGCACGTCAAGCGCCGCGCCTCCAACGGTATCCACCCACAAAAAAGCGAACACAACTTTAAGGTCTACTACCTGGGGGTTAGCGAGGTCCGACCAAAACCCGAGTGTTATATGAGTTTAAGAGTTTTTCCAATATTATGGAATGCTCTTTTCAACTCCCACTCAAGCATCATTTCCTATGCCCAAAGTTGGGTATTTATAGGGAATGATGGAGTATGAAAATCTCTCCCATCAATGTGGGACAATGAGATTTTCTCATTTTATTTTAAAGCTAAAATAAAATTATTAAGCAAACTAGTAATAAATCAACAAGTGTCAAGCATACATGAGAGAGTACGTGAGGACCACTTGGAGATGGGGACCAAACTTGCTCCCCACTCTCTCCCTCACCTTGTGCCACATGGCAACCCACTTGCTCCCAACCTTCCCCTTATACACGACCCTATCGCCCGAGCCAAGCCACGAGCCAAGCCCGAGCCCGGCTCGCAGCCAGCCCGCATTTGGCCCGCACCCTGCCCGCACCTGGCCCGAGCCCAGCCCGCACCAGCTGCTGCTGTGGCATGGTGCGGATGCGGCTGCTGCTGTGCCTAGCCGTGGCTGTAGCACGGTGCGCCGCCTTGTCTTGCCCTTAGCATTCGGATGCTCGGGGCACTCCGATGCTAGGGGTATTTTCGGGAATATTGTTGATTTATTATTATTTTGCACGTCTCGTCTTTTATTATTTAGACTCGACTTCCGACGATCGGTTTCGACGCTCTAAGCTCGAATTACTGACGTCTAATTATTTAACACTCGGGCGACGAATTAATTTCTTCCGAATTATTCGTCGAGTTGGTTCGCATATATTTGCTTGGGTGTGACCCGAAGGGTTCAGTCAAGATTAAGCTGTAATATTAATTATATTAATATTACTGATCGGAAGCGGCCTCCACCCAGGCATTCCGATCACTTGACCTTACTGAATATATTAGCTTTCTAATAATTCTGAACCCGCTATCAGAATAATACACTTGTTAGAAGGACACTATTCCTTTCAATCTCCCACTTGTCCTTCCGGACAAGTGTGCATTTAGTGTATAGACCTTATCCTATGTCTCTTCATGAACTACAGAGTAAGATTACTAGTCATCTCTGTTGCGTCCAGAAGTGTTTCTCTAAATCCGAGTTTGACTGTCAATAAGCAGATGATTTCTAAAATCCATCTGAGCACGGCCATGCATTTTTCACTGTCTCGCTCTTCGAGAGGCCTTGTAAACAACAAGACATGTTCCCTATTGTTAGTAGGGGGACATTTCAGCCTTGTAATGTAGCTTCTCTTACTAAGAGGACTCACCTGCCCAATATCTGTCTTTATAATCCCCAGTTACGGCGAACGTTTGGCGGATACCAAAGCGGATCATTACTCAAATAAGAGATCTCCCACTACTCATGGTCAAAGGAAAAGAGTTCCGATAGTAATAATGAGAAAATACTTATGACGATTTTAAATCTCTTAAAGTATCCTCATAGGTCGATCCAGTATGGTTCTAAACCAATACCTGTGCAAATGATTTATATCCTCATAGCACAAGAAACGGTGCTATAAATCATACTACACACTAATCTCTGATGGTCATCAATCGTCCACAAAATATGACCTTGATTAGGGATAATTTTCAATTAAATATTCAATGTTCACTTTAATAGGTGTTTCTTTATCCAAGCCATTGACTTGATACCCTATTTTGAATATTTATTAAAATCGAATGGACT